CACACACACACACACACACACACACACACACACACACCGATCGACAGCTGTGCTCCTTTGAGAGCAAGTGAAGTAAGAGGTTTAAACTCTACTGAGACAATTATGCTTGATTTTTGGTTTGTAGGCATGTGTGTGAGTGCCCCCTGCTGGATAGTAGTGCACACTAGTGGACTTTAATAGTGGGATGAAATGATTGAATTACTGATGTTTGGTGGATTATGAATAAGACAGATGTTACAAGCATGCAGGAAGTGTGTGTTTGTGCGTGTGCAAACAGCTGTGAGTGTGTCACATTAATGACAATTCTCATGTGTTTTTGTGAGAAATGGCTTCAGAGAAAATAGCACCACATGTCGTGACCTCCATTAAATGACACTTTTGTGTTTAGATGGATAACTCTGGTGCCTGAACACAAACACAAACAAACAAACAAATACACACACACACACACACACACACACACACACACACACACACACACACACACACACACACACACACACACACACACACACACATTCTGTATTTAGAGATGAATGAATAATTAAAAACAGACCAAACCAGTGACAATTGGGGTTACATGTAATGTAAAAAGAGTACAGGGATCTTATTTTATTTCTTTTATTCCAGTTTTTCTGGACTTCTGGGACTGCAGAAATGAATCAATTGAAGAAAATTAAATGCTGGTGGATAGTGTATTATTTCCTTGTTTGTTTTGCTGGTTGGATGAAGGAATACAGAGCAGAATAGAGTCATGGCTCTGTCTTCATGATTGAGATTTTTTCCAATAATGGTGATGACAATAATAATAAAGTGTTAGCTGTTTATAGCTTGGATACTTTCATGTGCAGTACCACAAATGGCCACTAGGTGGTTGTCTCTAAATAAAGGAACTTAAGCTTCAATCAAAAAGCGTTTTAAAATCCTTTCGTTTTTTCTTATCCACGTCATTATGACTTCAACATTATCAAGCTGGTAAAAAAATTTAAATTACAGTACAAACAAAAAATAATAATAAAGTAATTTTCAATTAAACAAACTTTTAGGATATCATCTCAGTCTCAAAAATCTTCAGTCTCACCAATCTACTCCAGCCATGTTAATTATCATGCTAGTGTTTCCGTGGCCTTCAGCACCCCAAGGTTAAAACTAAGCCGTAACTTTCTTGTCCTGTAAAGATTGTAAGATTTGTGAACTTTTTTTCCTGATGTTTTGTGTAACTGTCACTTTTTGAAACTGGAAGTCTTTCGTTTAGTAATATAAAATAATCTTTGAAAAGGAAAGCACTTCTTTTTCAAAGATTTAATTAGTTTCAGCAGTCACTTTACCATCTTTCGATTTAAGTCTGCGCTGAGCCTTGTCCATGATGTAGCTGCAATGAATATTGGGTAGGTACAATATGCCAAAAATGGCAATTAGTTCCCTAATTCCCATTTTTGCTTTTGTCGGTTTTGGGTAGTTCAAGAGAAACCTCTCAATGAATACCAGAATGATGTTTACTGTTTTGAAGCTATCCTTACCTTCATCTGTTCCCCTCTCTTTCGCTCAGCACACCACTGTTCTTCCCTTCATCATCATCGAGATGCGGACCACCCACCATCGGTATCCCAGCAGGTTGTGGGGTCTGGTGGCGGTGTGCTGCTTCGGTGTGGGATATATCCTCTGGTAATGAATGTTTACTCTTCTCAGCAGTCAATAAATGCCGCGTACACCACACGTCCTAAATAAGTAACAAGTGAAGTGCCTTGACATTTAGCAGTATGGGAGAATTAAAGGTGCAGTATGTAATCAAACAACAATTCCATATGTTTAGCTTTGCGGTGATATCTACTGATTTTATTATGCCACAGAATACAGTAATAGTCAGTGTAGCATCCAGTCTACCCCTAGTTCAACTTAAGCCAAAGGACTACTGTATAGTAACTGATGTGTGAAATAAAGCCCATCAATATCTCTGCCTGCTCAGGACATGTTGGGTGCACCAGGTGACGGGCGTGTGGGTGTACCCGGTGCTGGAGCGCATCGCACCCGTAGCTCGAGTCGCCTTCTTCAGTGCAATGATGGCAGTAATTGGTGTCTTCTATGTCCTCGGAGAAATCCTCAACAGCTACATCTGGGAGAAACCACACACAGGTATACACACGCGCACACAGACACACACACACACATGTGCATTTATATCTTGTGGGGACATCTGATTGACATAATGCTTTCCATAGCCACTTACCCTAACTCTAAGCATCAAAAATGAATGCCTAATGCTGACCCTAAACCTACCATAACCATAACCCAATTGTAACCCTGACACTAAAACCACATTTTGAGTCTCAAAAATCCCTTCAAACTCGTGGGGACTGTGAGTTTGGTCCCCACAAGGGCTGTTGGTCCCCACAAGTATAGTAAACTTCCAACTTCCAACACTTGCGCACACACACACATCAGCTGTCACACATTGCGGCTAAATTCTCACGTCGCAAAATATCTTTTTGACGTAATAAGAAATAATAAGAAATTATTTTGTTATTTTCAAGTTGAATAAAATGTGATTCAGAACCAATATCAAACGTTGTAAAATAACGGTCACTAGATACAAGCTTCTCAGAGACGACAGAGTCAAGATCAGGCTCCAAGCAGAGATCTGAAAACACACAAGGACAGACGCTTAAGAGCGGAAAACCTTTTTATTGTTGCCGTAAGACAGAACCTGCAACTCCGTAGCTGCACGCTGCTCTTTAGCAATAAAACAAGTGTCATTTTCACTCATCATTGCTGTAAGTGATTCTTTCCATTCTCTACAGTGCATCCGTAAGGATTCAGCGCACTTCACTTGGTCCACATTTGACTGTGTTACAGCCCTAATCCAAAATGGGTTAAATTTATTTTTTACCTCAAAGTTCTACACACAGTACCCCATAATGACAAAATGTAAAAAGTTACCTTGAAATTCTTGCAAATTTATTTAAACACAAACAAAACTAGGTGCCGTTTATCACCTGGTGAAGCATGGTAGAGGCTCCATGATGCTGTGGGAAAGTTTGTCATCATGAAGAACTGGGAGGCTAGTTGGGGTCGAGGGGACAGGTAAATAGAGCAAAAAGAAAGACATCCTTGATGGTAACCTGCTCCTGAGCACTCTGGACTTTGGACTGGGGCGAAAATTCATCTTCCAACAACAACTCTATAAGCACATGACCAAAATAAGGAAGGAGTGGCTTCAGGATCCTCTCTGAGTGCCGTTGTGCGCCCCAGCCAGAGCCCAGACTTGAACCAACACACCCCATCCAACCTGGTGGAGCTTGTGAGGTTCTGCAAGGAAGTATGAGAGAAACGTCCCGTAAATACAGTGGGGCAAAAAAGTATTTAGTCAGCCACCGATTGTGCAAGTTCCCCCACTTAAAATGATGACAGAGGTCAGTAATTTGCACCAGAGGTACA